GTCAAAACAAGCACTTTGAATTGGGCCCGGGCAGCAACTGGTAGCCAATGTAACTTAAAACAGAATTGGCTTGATGTGTTCTCTAGCAGCCCCACCACTCAGCAGCCGCACAGCTCGATTCTGGGCCAGTTGCAGTCACCAGACCGTCTTCAAAGGCAGCCCCACGTAGAGCGCATTGCAATAATCTATACGAGATGTTACCAGTGCATGTGTAACTGTCATGAGACTCCGCTCGTCCAGGTAGGGCCGTAGCTGGTACCTTCACCTTACCTATTATCTTCACGCAAAGAACACTCAAGGCTCATGAACTACTAAGGACTGTTTTAGTTTGACACTGCTGTATTCAAAAAAATTGAATCCTAGGAACTGCTCAGGCTCATAACAGGTGAACAATATGATAGCTAGCTCCCTATTGTTTTAGTTTTGACACTGCCGTATTCAAAAAAATTGACTGAATCCTAGGAACTGCTCAGGCTCATACCAGGTGAACAATATGATAGCTAGCTCCCTATTGACTGAAATCATGTGAAACCTACATTCTTCAAGTCTAGCTGAATCCACCTTAGTAGGGAAGGAAACTTGGATCCAAATCAGCCTTAGAAATGTCTTAAACTTCAGGGTACTTACATGGTTACTATGGAGACACTATGGGAGCCAGCAATGGATTAAAAGAAAGTGCTAATCTCAGCCAAATTGAAAGCAATGTTCTACAGTTTGTACTTTAAACGTTAAAGGCTGGTTCATTTTAAGCCTTGAAGACTTACACTATTCAGAATACAGGATTTCATTTTATACCTCCTCAGCACACGACCCAAGTACTCTCTTGGCAAATGACAGCTCTACAAGAAAATAAAAGCAAATAGATCCATTTCAGGGCAAACTCACAATGCTACACCGAGCATAAGAAACTAGTGTATGGGGCAGAATGTTGGATTTATACATAGCAGATACATGCAACATCCCTGGAGAGGCAAGCAGCTGAAAGTTAGCGGGAACACGAAGTATTACGCACTCCCTCTTCCAACCCATGCAGCCCATTTTAAATTGCTTCAACAAATGCAGTACTATCACATTTCCTCCCACAAAAGGAAACTTGTTTGCCAAGCCAAACTTCATGGACTCAAGAGGTAACAAGCTATTTTTTGCAGTTAATATCTAAATAATTTTTACTTCTATCACTAAGAAAGGGTTTCTCTGCCACTGTAAATGCAGCTCATCCTTGAAATCTGGGCCACAATCCTAGCCCTTCCCCTCTGTTGGCTTTCTTTCAGGCAGTCATACATCCTTACTCTCCTTTCCAAATGTATTGATATCAGGATCACATTGTGAGGGTTAACCCTTATAGTTTTTCTCCTGCTCCAGTGGTTAACATGAACTGGCTCTTCCCACCGGTAGCAAACATCCACACATACAGATAAATCTTAAATTGATTTGTTGTTGTTTAGTTAAGTCGTGTCCGACTCTTCGTGACTATATGGACCAGAGCACGCCAGGCCCCCCTACCTTCCACTGCCTCCCGGAGTTGGGTCAAATTCATGATGGTAGCTTTGGTGACATTGTCCAACCATCTCTTCCTCTGTCGTCCCCTTCTCCTCTTGCCTTCACACTTTCCTAAAATCAGGGTCTTTTCCAGGGAGTCTTCTCTTCTCATGAGATGGCCAAAGTATTGGAGCCTCAGCATCAGGATCTGTTCTTCCAGTGAACACTCGGGGTTGATTTTCTTCAGAATGGAAAACTGATATGGAGTTCCTGTTAAATATTGATAGCTTTATTTTAAATATATCAGAGTTCTTTCTAATGAAGGTACTGTACTAATGTCCCTGGACCACTTTCTATGAAAACCTTTCATATACATACTAATACCTTCATTAGAAACAACTCTGACTTTTCCTCCAAATCAGTTTTCCTTCTCAAATTACCATTAACTTTGCTTTTGCAGAAGACAATTAAAAAGGCCTGGCTTCCTATCCAAGATAGGTACAGGTCAAACTATCATTCCACTTATCTGATTTCCTGTGAAGTTGTACATTGTATTTATATTTATCTGCTGAACTGTGTACTTTGGGGAATCAAGTTGAATGACAAACCATCCTGCATTGTTAAGGGAATGTATCTGAACTTTGCACCACATCTCAGTGTGTGTTGAGCTATCCAAGATTCAATATAAAAATATGCATGCACAAATCTTTGGAATCAGTTTTGCAGTTTGAGGTGAATATCACTGACATATGTAACTGCTACAGTCAGTGCGCTCATGAGTAAGACAGCAAATTACCCCAGCCAGGATCAGTCCCGATCATGCTAAACAGTGTCACTTTGAGATGCAGTATGTCATTTGTGTCTGTTTACCAGGCAAACCAGTTTAGCAAAATCAGGACCAATCTTTGAGAAAGGAAGCTCCCCATTTCTGAAGAGGCTGGCTGGCTGTTCCTTAGTTCAGTGGTTCCCCAACTTTTCCATGGTACCGGGCCATGGACTGGGAGTTGGGGACCCCATCCTTAGTTGGAGCTGCTTAAGGATCTTGAGAACTGAGCAGCTTTCTTTTTGCTTTCTCAAAGAAGGTAATGAAGGTTTTAATTTCTTTTTAATTGTTGCTAACAGCAACACTTTAACAGGAGAAAAAAAAACATTTTCAAAGCATTGCTAATACATTGGCAAGAATTCAAAGGAAATACAAAACTTCCTCTCCCTTGCCCTCCAAAGGCAAGTGGAAATTAAGCTTTCCACTTCTCAAGATCACTAATCTGCTTCACTAAAGGAAAAGCCAGTCTGGCATTTTGGTTCAATCCCGGCGATCACACACTGCAACGAAACCAAGATGGATCGATCCTACCAGCACAAAAAAAAAATTAAACAACAACAACAACAGTAGCCCCTCACAGAGACCCAAAAAGGTGCAGGTAGACATTGATTGGGGCAGGATGCTCATGATGGCACATATGCTGTATGGTTGCCACAGAAAATAGTGAGCCAGCCCATACTCAACCTGGACCAAACCATGGGACAAATGCCAGTCTGATCACATCCTTATTTCCAGTCACAGTAAAAACAGTACCAATTGCATATGCTCACCTGCACCTTTGTTGTTCACTTTCCTCCCTCTGTCACTCAAACATACGACTCTAAGCACACTGCCTTTTGTAAATTGTTTTTGGTGTATAACATTATTTAAGGCTATGTACAAACTGTAGAATTTATAATGTGCCGTACTGTTTGTGACGATATTTACAAAAAAATCTACATTAACATGACAAAACAAAAGCAATAATTTTTATTTGGCAAAGACATGGCTCTACTTTCTCTTCTTCCCACTGCTTGCACATGGGGTTTGAGGAGCATCACCAGCATCCCCGTTGTGACGAGCACGCCACTCCTGCTCCAACCTTTTCAGCACACTCTTGGAGAGGAGTCCTTGTTGTATTAGTCTATCAGCCAGAGTGCCCTGGATTTGACTTTCTTTGTCCATTTGTGTTGCAGCACGGCTAGAGCTGGTTGTCTTAGGCCCTCGCGCTCTCCATTGCTCTGGGGCCTTCAAATTACTTCGGGAAAGCTCTGTTTTAGTCTTTGGAGATTTTTCTGCATCCAGCTTCACATCACCAATGCTGTCCCTCTGAAGAGTAATATCCTCTGGAATAGTTACAGTCCCTGTAGTAGTTTGAGAAACTCTGATCAGTCTGGTAATATTAAGCACCCCAATTTGTATAATGTCATCCACCTCCTTCTGGATGTTTCTCACAGATGTAGCATCTGGGAACATGTCCATAAAACGGTAGCTGCAGAAAAACACACATGGATGGGTAAGAGGAGGATAAAGATGCTTGAAAAGTTAACACCTTTCTGCAAACTCCCTTGGTTCTCAGTGGCAGAACTTGGAAAAGTTCCTCTTTTTTGGTTTACAAATCCTAGAATCCCCCAGCCAGCAGGGCCATTGGACGTAACATCCAAAATAAATAAATAAATTTAAAAAAAAACATGTTCAAACTCTGCTCAATGGCTTGGGCCACAGCTTGATCAGTTTTTATATTGTAATTTATATAACTAGTCTCTGAAGAGTGACATGCAAATATAGGCATGTTGCAATTTATAGCAAACCACAGCCAAAATCACACACATTGGCCCAAAATCCTCTTGTCTCGTTACACAAACAGCATAATTTTTGGAAGTGAATTCCGTAAGTTAAAAAAAATCACTCTAGACAGTATCTGTTGCATACTGAATTGTGTGCCTCAAAAAACAACTGAGAATGTCCCCCATGATTTCTTAACTTGGGGTAATTTGCCTCACTTTGTTAAAGCCAAATGTTAAAGCCAACTACACCAAAGGATCCTGGCAAATTTGTCTGCTGGTTTAAAGAAAAATATACTTTCTATCTGACCATTAAAGCTAAAAGCGTATATAAAGACTTAATATTTGTACATAGTAAGCAGTAGTGAAGATGAGCTGAATCCAAATTTGTCCCTCCACAAATACAGATGTTCCTTCATTCATGGAGAGAACAGAGACTTGAGAAAGGGATTCCCACTGACACCAGGCACAGAGAGACAATTTCTGCCAGACAAATTCTTCTATCCCCATTCTGAGTCTTGTGTTACTGTGGCCGCTAGATACATCCCACAGCCAAATCTCAGGAGATTTACAGGAGAGTGCCAGGAAGGAAGGAAAATGCCAGAATCCTAATGTCATTTATGCTGACATTACTGCAGCTGTGCAAATAACAGCAAGTGGCCACTTGCATTCTTGGTCACATGCCAGTCGTCCAATGTGGTGCACACCCAGGAATGTGAATGGCAACCTGTTAATCAACAGCAGTTCACAGTCACAATCTGCGCAATTATACTTATCCTGATGTAAACCACCAACATAAATCTGGCCAATGGCTGTGGTTATTACAGTGCAACTGAGAGAAGGAAAAGAGGCAGGTTGATGGGAAATATCCAAAAAGGCCTCATGAAACCACTACGTTGTGGAGATGGTAGCAGATGGAGAGGGATAAAGGGAAAAAAACGGATGAAACAGAGAACTGGTTTCATCTCTTCCACCTTGTGGCTCCAGCTCCCAAATAAGGTTTTCCTATGGGTCAAACATCCTTTACAGAACAAAACATTCCCAGTCTTGCTGAACGTAAAATTCTGTACAGTTCTGCGCTAAAGATGGTTGGTGGCAGCATAACTACCGGATGGGATACTCCAGTAGGTCTGGGGTTGCCACAGATGGTAGCAGATGGAGAGGGATAAAGGAAAAAAAAACAGATGAAACAGAGAACTGGTTTCATCTCTTCCACCTTGTGGCTCCAGCTCCCAAATAAGGTTTTCCTATGGGTCAAACATCCTTTACAGAACAAAACATTCCCAGTCTTGCTGAACGTAAAATTCTGTACAGTTCTGAGCTAAAGCTAGTTCAACCATGTGACTTGTGACATGTGTTGTAGGATGATACCTCCTCAAAATCTTAAGACACAGTACTGTAGCTTTGAAAATATCTTCATATCAAAATATTCCTGAACATGGAACACTAACCAAGCCAAGGGGAATTTAATTTTAAAAACACCTCCCTGTGATATACTTCTCACGGATGCATGGAGAAATTTTGACAAGAAAAAGCTTTCACACAAGTCATTCCACATAGCATGCAAGATTTGTAAAATCTCAAACAAAGACAAGGGGGCTGTTAGAAGGTTCTTATTTCAAGCAGAAGAAAAATTTTATGCTTCAAAATTTCAGACATTAAGACAAGAAAAAAGTCACTGTCCAATACCTTAGCCAAAGATAGAGATCAAGGACATCATGAACAGCTTCAAGATGTATAAGGTCTTTTATGTTCTTGGGTGGAACCAGTGGCCAATTAATATGCCTCAACAGCCAGTCAAGCGTCATAGGTTCGTTTTTACTGAACTGCCTTGCAAACTAGAAAATGAAAGAAACAAGTTAAGCAATCTGTATTTCTGCAGAACAATGCGATCGTTGATCTCTCACACTGCAACATACCCTGAGCAACAGATTCCCCACCCCGAACCCCACAAGCTCAGGTGGGAAAGGAATTTCAGCAGTTTATCACTTGAATGTTTTTAGTTCAATACAGAAGAGCAAATATTATTAATAAGCAGCACATTTACTAATATTTAAAAACAATAGGAAAATACTGAAACCTTCCTTGTGCTTGAGAGGACAACCAGGAATTCTTTCACAGCAAGTGGGAAAATGTACAATTTTGTCTTCCTGCAAACTTTTCCACCATCAATTTGTGCTTTTTGAAACATGTCTTCCTGACCCCTTGCACATTCCTGGATTTAGCTACTGACTCAAATGCCTGTGGTTTTTTTTTCCTAATCTCATTAACAGGATTCTATATGGGCACTTCATACCTAGCCTGGATTTACAATTTAATGAGGCTGGACTCTGGCCAACTCCCCATGTCTGAAGCCATGGCTCTTTTAGTTTTGGCTCTATTGCAAAAACAAGGAGGATCATATGGTCTCCCAGGAATCTTTTTCCTCATCAGCAGAAGGATATCAAATCTTTAACTTAAGAATGGGAAACTTACACTAAGTGATGTTTTTAAAAAACAAATTTACCTAAATCATACAACTAAAAACGCATATGTTGTAGTCAATGGCTGGAATCCTACTGCACAGCTCCACAGATGCAATGCGAAGCTTCAGAACCAGTTCAGAAAATAGTATCACCCTGGAAGTGGTATTCACAAAGCACTTCCACATGGATGTTGTTCAACAGTTGCAAGGGAACTGTGCAATCCTCATTGCCCAGGTGGAACACCTGGCAAACTTGCAGAATCATAAGAGATGGATGGAGGGAGGGATGGATTATATTTTTGCCCCACCTTTCTCCTTAAACAGGACCCCAGTTGACTTACATAACTAAAAGACAGTATTTAATGCAAACCGTATGCATGGATTAAAAAAATTTCAGCCAATATAAAAAATACATAAATTTAGAAGAAAACACACAAAAGCTAGCACAACTACATGTGGAAATATGCAGAGGAAGACTGTTACAGCTTTTTTGTCAACTGCTCTCCTATTCAATCACAGAAATGTTGTATAAAGAATTCTAAATATCACTGAGACACAGCGTAAGCTTAATGGTGGACCAACTTCTATAGCCTTAATACAATCAACATAAATCTTCCTAATTAAAGTATTTCTCATTTTAATTTCATTCATTTATTAGATTTCCACCCTGCTTTTCTCCCCAAATATGAAACTCAAGGTGAGAGAACATATTCTGCCTAAAAACAAAACAAATAAAATATCCATCAAACAAATCACTATGAATAAATGGAGGGGGGAACAGTTTCACACATTCATGGCAAAGAACATTTCTCACACAATACATTAGGAAACGTCTGCATAGAATCACTTTTGTAACACAGGAAGTTTGTTATACAGTGGTGCCTCGCTTAGCGATGTTAATCGATGCAGAAAAAATCACTGCTAAGCGATAACATCGCTAAGTGAAAATAAAAAGCCCATAGAAGCGCATTAAAACGCGATTAATGCGTTCCTATGGGATAAAAACTCACCTTTAAGCGAAGATCCTCCATAGGGGCGACCATTTTCGGTGCCTCTTAAGCGAGGAAACACAGCGGGTGGCCATTTTGTTTAGCCGGCAGCCATTTTGAAACTGCTGGTCAGCTGTGCGAAAATGGGGGCTTTGCGATGATCGCTTCCTTGGGATCATCGCAAAGTGAAATTTCCCCATAAGGACCATCACAAAGCAATCGCTTTTGCGATGGCAAAAAGTCCATCGCAAAGCGATTTCACTGCTATATGGAGCGATCGCTATGCGAGGCACCACTGTAATCCCTGAACGGACAATAACTGGCCATAAAGCATTAAGTAAGACAGTGAAATCTTCATATGACATTCTCTGTCCGGCAGCTAAAATGTATTTTCTCATGCTTATAAGCTGAAAGAGTATATCTATGACTTTTCACATATTCCCTGCAATCTACATTTGAACCCAAAAGCAAGTTCAAACATATTTATGAGTAATTTGGCCTTTCTCACCAGATTACTCATAAACATGTTCAAACCCATCCATAAACTCAAACATAGGCTGCAGAAAAAAAGATGACATGTCATGGAAATCTTCCCCCTACTTAAAAAGTTAAAATGCTGAGAGGAGGAAGAGGGTGAGAGGAAGGAGGAGGGACAGCAAGGAGACAGCTGCAATTAAGTACAACACAGTCTACTTTTTCATGTCCCTTACCCACCACACATGGCAGAAGAGATGCAAGTTCCTTACCTTTAACAGCATGGTGCAAACATAAGGCTGCTTTCTATTGAGGGGTGCAGTGCAGAACACATACCTTACCCTCAAATTAAGTGGAATGTGTTGAATCATGTCAGCTATAAATTTAAAGTCCTCAATCTTGCAAACAAAGTACAAGCCGTCAACTTGAGAGAGACTCACAAAGATATCCTATTTTTAAAAAGAAAACATATGATAACTAGGTGGTGTCCTGGCTGTGTTCAAAGCCCTATGTATACTGTGAGCACAATACAAGAAGCCCTATTTCTGCAACAAGTTCTACAACTTACATACATTACATACATCAAACAAAGCTGAATATGTCTATCTGCTCTCTAGATTTCATTCAGCTTTTACTACTAACAGCAATGAAGAAAGTGCTATTATGTTACTCCCGAAGCCCTCCCACCCCATCAGATGGCTCCAACCTTGCTCAGCCAAAGATCAACCAAAGATTCTGGACTATTGCCCAGCACTCTACACTTCCAAGTTTATCCTTGTAGCCCTAAGAGCTGTAATCTCTTTTCATAAGAATGAAAACTGAGATTCCTGAGGCATGGAGTTCGATACAGAGTACCAATTATGCTATGCAGTGTAGTTGCAAAATATCACAATGCAGAGTGCCTGGGACAAATATGAATGCATAGGGACTTCAAATGGCCCCCTTCCTGACACCATCTGTGTCAGGCAGGGCAAGGCAGTCTCAAAAACCTCCAGAGGCTCTTTCTCCTCTGGAACAACAAGAAGGAATACTAAGCTACCCCCAATGATAGCTACTGTATGCTAACCAAAGCAATGTGGCATATGAGGTGCTGTACACCAAAAAGGTTAAATAAACTTTCTGATTCTTACAATTAGATTTGATAGAGTGGCATGCGGAAGATGATACGCAAACATTTCAATCTGTTCAGCCGTGGGATGCAAGCCAGCAGTCTGGGGAAAAAGTGGACAGAAGGAAGAGATATGCCTTATTTTCATAAGAATTAAACATTTATTGTTTCAACAATACATTGAAACAAGCTGCAAACAATAATGATGATCTATTAAGGTCAACATATATAAAATAGTTACAGCACTAATAAGGATATGATTGTCAAGTAGAAAAAGACAAATATCTACATGGGGAAAATGTTCAGGAGAGTGAGGTTGGAAATTGTGTCTTTATTTACTCACATGAGTACAGGGAAAGCAGCAGAATACCTTCCATACGCAGAGCTCTGCTTGATTCCAAAGCATTTTTTCTTAATAATTAAAAAAACACTGCATACAGATGCTCCTACTGCATCTTTTGTAAGTGCCGTATGTTCCAAGTCATACCAAGTGCCTGTGTGGCTTTTTCACAAAATAAGGTGGAACATAAAGCAACCCTTCTCAATGTGCTGCCCTCTACCTACTTTGCATTACACAATGTCCACCAACCCCAGCTACTGTATCAGTGCTGAAAAGTGATGGGACCAGCAGTCCAAAACACGTGGATTTTGGAAGAATAATACCAAGCATTCAGATAGGTTCAGTCTATTCATAAGTCACTGTGGCTCTGTGGCCAAGGGGAAGCTTCACGTGTATATGATTCCAGATTAGAGATGGGCACAAACTGCTGGTGGGGCAGTTCATAATGGTTCATTCTTTGGATGCACAGGTGCTCCGTGGGCACCCAGCTTCCGTCCCCTGCCTCCTCCAGTGGGCACCTACTCAGAGGCAGCATCCAGCAGAAGAGGGAAGCAGGGGTGCCTGCAGAACACCTGTGCATCTAAAGAATGAACCATTACAAACTGGCAGCCCGGTGGTTCATGTCCATTTCTATTCCAGATTTAATCTCTGCCATCTTCTTTTGAAGTGATCAAGTAACAAATGATGGAAAACACTGATGGGCAGCTGCAGTTTAACAACATCTGAAGAACCACCCCGTAACATAATGCGGCTTCCTGTGTTCATTTATTTGTTTGTTCCTTGTACTTCTATGCTGCCTTTGTCCCAGCAGTAGGACTCAACGCAGCTCACAAATCACCAAAAAAGACAAGAATTAAAAGCATCATACAAACAGCAATTAAAAAGTTATTAAACAGAGAATGATTAAAATCATCATATAAGAATTTATATAAAAGCATTTTAAATGCATTAAAAAGCATGTATTGACAACGAACACAAGTCAGCTTAATAATAGTAACAACTATGTGCCATCAAATCAATTCTGACTTACGGCAACTCTTTTCAGGGTATTCTAACTAGAGAGTATTCAGAAGTGGTTTATCATTCTCTTCTTCTGGGGAAACCCTGGGACTGTGCAGCTTGCCTAAGACTCCCACAGGCTGGCTCTACTCACAGGAGGCCCAGTGGGAAACTGAACTCCCAATCTCTGCCTCTGCAGCCAGACATCCAAACTACTGAGTTATCAGTGTCAGACAGCCTAGACCCAAACAATATAGGACTTTATAGATCATAACCAGCACTTTGAACTGGCCTTGGAAACAAACTGGTAGCCAGTGAAGCTGTTGTAACGGAGGAGTTATATGCTCCCTGTAACAAGATTGAGTCATTAGTCTGATTGCAGCATTTTGCACCAGCGGAAGTTTCCAAACCATTTTCAAAGGCAGCCCCACACAGAGTGCCTTACAATAACCTAAGTGAGATATAACTAAGCCATGTATCAAATCAGACATTTCAAGGAACAGACACAGCTTGCACACTAGCTTTAACTGTGCAAATGCACTTCTGGCCACCACCAAAACCTGAGCTTCCATGTTCAAGATGAGTCAGAGGGACTATTCCCAAACTGAGAGTCTGGCTTGTCAGGAGGAGCATAATCCCATTCAACACAGGATGAACCCCTATTCCTCAATCTACCTTTCGAATGATGAGGAGCACCTCCATCTTCTCTGGATGAAATCTCAGTTTGCCTTAATATGCTCTATCATCAACAACAGACACTGGCTTAGAACAAGAACAACTTCCTTGGAGTTAAATGGAAAGGAGAGAGAAGAGTCAGGTATTATCTGCGTACTGGTTGCACCTAATTCCAAAACTCCAGACAAGCTCTCCCTGCAGTTTCATGTAAATATTAAATAGTACGGGAGTCAAGAGAGAACCCAATAGGACACCACAGGCGGAAGGCTACAGTAGTGAACAGGGGTCTCCCAGCACCCCCTCCTGAGTCCTCTCCTCCAGGAAGAACTGAAGCCACTCTAAAACAGTGTCTCCAAGACCCATCCCAGAGACAATGCAGAGGGATACCACAGTTGATTGTACTGGAAGCTGCTGGGAGGTCCTGCAAAACCCATAGGGACATATTTCCCCCATCTAGTTCCCAGCATGAGCTACCTGCCAAGGCTATCAAAGCTGCCCCCCTCCCATTTTCAGGCTAGAAGCTAAACTGAAATGGATCCAGATACTCCATTTCATCCTAGAATTCTTGGGAGAGTATCCTTGTGACTGCTCAACTCATATGAACATGAAAGGATCATGGAACTATAATACAGGTCAGCAAAGCCAGAGCATTTAAAGTCTTACCACTATGGGATCAACTGGTGCTTTTAAGAGCTCCTTTAATAAAGGAAGGTCATCTTGATGCATAGTAGTGACTTCCCCTTCTTCAAACATAGTGCCGTATCTTCCAGCTCTGCCTGAAATTTGTAGAGCCTGAGAAGTTGTAATTGTGTCTATTTCCTTTTCCCCCTTCTCATTGACAGATGGCTTCACTAGAGAGTTAAAAATGATTCTTTTTATGCTCCTAGAAGAAAAAGGCAGGAAATAGGTTAACACAGAAGACTAAGTAGAATATTGTATTTAGTATACAACGAAGATAATGTTTCCCTATGATCAAGGCCATACTAACATAACATTCAATTGGGATCCTAAATGTAAAAAAAGGAAAAGTGCTGGAGAGAGAACTATTTAAAGAAAACAAACTTTTGTCTTCAGTAATGCTACCTAGGAAGCAGCAACAGGAACTTGGAATTAATAGATTAAAAGTACTTTTATAAACATTGTACTTTAGAAATAATAATAATAATAATAATGTCATTGTAAATATATACACATACAACGAAATTCACAGACCCCCAGAGACCAGACACATGCACACACATAAAATTCCCCAAACTCTCCCCACCCACTAAAAGTCCCCCACTAAAAATATAAACATCTACACCGCAGGCCAAGTAACACAGTCCAACTAATTATTCACTACTGGTGGTCTTTAAGTTCATTATTAATTGCAATTATAGCTCTGGGATAAAAACTATTGAGAAAACGTGTGGTCCAAGTCTTAATTGTTCTATATCTTCTGCCAGATGGTAACAGTTCAAAAAAGTTATAAGCAGGATGGGAAGAGTCTCTCAGGATGCTATGTGATTTCCTTAGACAGCGGGATGTGAAGATGATGGGGAACAACTTTAGAACATTATAACATCAAGTAACAGAGTTTTATTTTTGCAAAAAGAGTAACTTTTACTTATTACTTTTGGAGAGGGCAGACTGGTCATTTTTTCAGTGAAGGCCTCATATAATTAAAAAACATAGAAGCCACATTCCTATTGGTATGAATTTACATTACAAAAGCTGGAAGACATCATCATCTGGGCTAATAGAATTTAATTTGAACTAACTGAAAGCTTCCTATCCCTTTGTTTAAGGTTCTGAGGCAGCAGTCCTAATCCTGCACTCCCTGGCAGATTTAATTTAAATTAAATTTCCAAAATTAAACACTCCCCCTGGACCCAAGGCTCCTCAAGGCTTCCCCAGGGCAAAAGGAAGGCCTAGGGAGCTTTGGATGCTGAAAATGGGAAGAACAGGAGGCTGTCAATTAATCTGAATAAAATTTTACTGGTGCCAGATGATGTCATCACTTATGCATAAATTTATACAAGAGCAGTGGTTCACAAACTTGGGTGATCCAGGCATTCTTGGACTGCAGCTCCCAGAAACCCTGGCCAGCACAGCTGGTGGTGAAGGCTTCTGGGAATTGCAGTCTAAGAACACCTGTTTTACTCAAGGTTGGGAACCACTGCACAAAAGGATTTTGCCCAGAGTGTAAATGGGTAGTAGTCTGTTGTATTACATGTCACTAACAAATGATAAGCAACATTAACAAGTGGCATTCCTAAAAAACAATGAATAAGCTTTGTCAGGCAAAGAAAAAGGTTCCCTCCCTCTCTGCCATCACATTTGCGACATACTAGCAGAATATTTGCTAATTACTCAGAATCCATTCTAGGCTCTATAAAAAATATGATGTGCAGTTACGGTCACCCAAGTCAACAAACAACGATCCAGTGTCTAACCTCCAGCTGTCCCTCAATTCACTGTCATGTCCCAGGGAAACAAACACTCCCACACATATACATGTAACCTGGGCAGGACGAATCTAACACATTTCTGGCAGAACCATGCTCATCCTTTCCTACACACTCCTGAAGGCATGCAATTTTCCCTTCAACTAGAAGGGTAGAAGCATAGATAATTGTGAGAAAAACTGAGGCTGAAATTCCAGTAATACATAGGCAAGGTCTTGTGGAACAGCTGTTCAACATGTATACATACTAAACATGCTAAGTTATACAGACTGCCAACTCAAGCGTATATACACTAGTTATATACTCTTTTCATTAAATATGTAAATATGGTTAAAATAAAGTGAATCCGTTTAAGTCTTGAACACACACCAAGGGCAACAGGGAAGGTTCATACAGTAGGACGCCCATATCCACAGAGGATTGGTTCCAATTCAGCAGATGCTGAAAAACATGGATTATAGTGAATGTTATTTTAACAGTGAACACCATACACACCATGGTCTCTAGCTTCCTCTAGTGGCCATTTCTGGTTTAAATATATACAGTGGTCCCTCGATGTATGGACAGCTCTACGTGCATACTTTTCGAGGTACGGACTTCTCTGGCCGCAAGATTTCCAATCGACTTGCGGCCGGAGGATTGACCTATGGACCAGAAGGGGGAGGCGGGGAAAGTGCCAAATTCAAATCTGGTGCTTTCCGCGCCTCCCCCTTCCAGTCCGTAGGCCACCATGCCTCCGGCCTTCCAGGGCTTCTCCGCCGCCATGGGAGGCATCTCGGAGGTTCCCCCCCCCGCCGCTGATTGAGCCTCCGAAGCATGATCAGCAGTGGGGGGACCTCCGAGAGGCCTCCCATGGCGGCAGGGAAGGCCTGCGGAGGTCCCCCTCACCGATGATCGAGCCTCCAAAGCATGATCAGCAGCGAGGGGAACCTCTGTAGGCATTCCCCGCCATCAAGGGAGGCCTCTCGGAGGTCTCCTGCCCCCACCGACGCAGGCTTTACCAGGGTGGACTGGGCCTACCAGGGGACAACTTCCCCCGGTAGGCCTGGTCTACTGCCCGGGAAAGCCTGGGGTGGGGTGGGGGGAACCTCCGAGAGGCCTCCAGCAGTGGCAGGGAGTCCCTCGGAGGCCTCGGACAGCAGCATTGGCCGCAGGGAGGGATCTCTGAGAGGCCTCCGGCAGCAGCTAGAAAGCCATCGGAGGCCACGGGCAGCGGCAATGGTGGTGGTGGGGGACCCCTGGAAGGCTTTGGAAAGGTAAGTTCTATTTATGTTTAATTTTTTGTGGGAAGGGGGTTCTTGGGCCGGTTACAGATTAAATGATTTTCAATGCATTCCTATGGGAAATGCATTTTTGACCTACAGAGTTTTTGACCTACGGACACCGTTCCAATGCGGATTAATTCTGTAGGTCGAGGGTCCACTGTATATATATTTCTAGGATTTTTCTTCTAATATTTTTCATATTTTCAGACTGGATAAGCGAATCAGAGGATACTGATCCCACCAATATGGGAAGTTCTACTGTAGTGCTGGGAAATAAGCTCAGAAAGGCTGAGAACTATCATCACATTTGCTTCATTAGTGTTTAGGATACTTACAAATTGAGTCCCATTCCAATTGCATCTGTAGCAACCATGATTTTACAAGAATCATTAGGATCATTGAATTTCTTTGCCTGTGCATGCTTTGTTCCTGAAACAATCACAAGAACAGACTGTGTTTTAGGCAACAATACATTTGAATTTTCTGGCTCTACTTTGTCCCGAACTGTATCATTTACCACTTTATAGGTTTCCCTTCCACTGCCATTTTATAGTCTACTGTCATACATGTAGCATTAAAACTGCTTCAGATAACATCATTCATGAAAATGGCCCACTGAAATTCCTATGAGAATGCCGTTTTTATCAATTGATCGATGGAGTGATTGATTTTTTTCAAGTCGTATACCAGCCCATAGTGCAAACATTCTCTGGCCTATTCACAACACAAGCTTTTACTCACATGGAGACACCATTTCTGCAAACCACAAGTGGCCAATGTCCAGAGGTAAGAGGGCTGCACATGCCCACCTGTGGACCTGACAGGCCCCACCCACTTCTGCGCCCCCTTCCAAAATAAGTGAGTGGGGAAAAAAACTCCTTGCACCTAGTGCCAACTTTTTAAATAACTGCAAACCCACAAGGGACAGTTGTATATGATCACACATATTTCTGGTGACAGAAGAACTTTTAAGTTGCTACAACTGCTGATGCTACAAAGGTCATATTCTACCCTACAAGAAGCTGCGAGTTCACACAACCACTGTCTCTGCATGAACCTGTTTCCAACACAAGCTCCAGAAAGAGGATCTTGGCTAAATATTAAAAAGGACTCCATGACAGGACTTCATATCCGGCAATGCAAAGGATTAAGAAAGGTGGTAGACTCTGTATTTTAAAGGTTTTTTAAGCAAAGGGTGACAACCTATTGGGAATGCTACAATTATGAATTTCTTGCATCTATAAGGAGTAGATTAAACGGTCTTTGAAGTATCTTCTATTTGGGCCACTCACAGGAGTGAACCACTTCCTTGGTTAGTATCATTACCATCTTCCCTTTCCCTATGTAACAAGAAGCCACTTGCCCACAACAAATAAAAAATATTCATGGTAGAAGATTGAAGAACAAAATAGATCCTCAAGAAACACAAACCACACATGGTAATACAATCAACGTGGAATTAAAATCGAATGAGTTATATTATTAGACTGACTTAAAATGATATGGGTGGATACAATAACAAAATAATCCATCTTCTCCTTGTTAAGAATCAGCAGTAATATAAACCAGATATAAAATTTTATATATTGTAAAATAAAAGTGCACATGTAAAATCTAATGCTCCTTCATGGATTGCTGCCTTGTCATAATATAAACCAGATATAAAATGTTATATATTGTAAAATAAAAGTGCTCATGTAAAATCTAATGCCAGACACAACAGCATGCATAATGTTATACAATTTAACAGCTGGACATCACATATGGAACTATTTTTTACATAAATGGTCAAAAGCAGAAGTACTAATATGTATTAAAAATATTTACCTGGTGGTAGGCTTCCATATATGACAGCACATTCCAAACCCCGTATTTCAATCTGCCGACTTATTGAATAAATATCATTCTTACTGAAACAGACAATGCAATCTCCAGGGCGAAGGTTATCTAGAGACTGAAGTGCCTTACCCAGCACTTTAATTGGCGTGAGTCTGTTGTAGTTTCTCACCTAGAAAAAGCAAGCATGACAGCAACAAAAGACATGAGAGAATAATGAAGGGGCTATTCTGGTGCAACAAGGACTCCAACACACGCAACTATACACTCTCTTGTTTCCAAATTGATTCCGAATGTCCTCTGGGTTTCAAGCCCGCCTCACCATGGCAGGAATAGGAACCAGAGCACTGACTTTACCATATCTATCCACCCTTCTGATCTAAGTCATTAGCTGTATTGCCAAGTCCTGGAGAAGGAAGTTAGTTTCTACTGGGAAGAAAATGGTCCCCAGATTTTATTGTACCTCTTTATTTGGTTGCATATTTTAATGGCTAGTCAATGGTGTTAAAGCAACATTTTTGCTGAGGAAAAGCAGCAGGGGAAGGCCATTGTCCTCACATCCTGCTCATGAACTCCTTAGGAACTTCCATGTGGTTGTCATTGTAAGACAACAGGATATTTGACAAGATAAGCCTTTTTCTTTATCTACATGGGCTTTACCTATGTTCTTAAAAATATAAACTGAAACAGCCACTGACTGTATCAGTGACATATAATGCAATTATAATAAAAATATATTGGGAAAAATTTATTTTAAAACCTATGATTCCTGTGATACAATAGCAGAGATAGGATATTTGTATTCGTATACAAATATCCAAGATCCAGGTGGCTGGGATTCCCCAGTCCCACCTCCTCGAACCGACCCATCCACTTATGGGTCACCACACAACGCACCAGGCCAGCATCCTGTTCATTGCATCAATGATGAAGCCCAGCTGGCACTGCTCTGCCTTCCTGCTCTTCTGGCCACTCAGCGGCTGAGCGGGAAGACTCATCATCCCATTTCCTGGTTGGAGTGGCCAGAAGGGCAGTAAGGCAGAACCCATAAGTGGATGGGTCAGTTGAGGGAGTTGGGACTCAGGATCCTGGCCACCTGAGTCTGGGATATTCATATACAAATATCCCATTTCTACACTAGATCTCATAAATTATATGATGGCTCTAGCCTTTGTGTAATTATGGTTGATGAAAGTCCTCCGTGTTGTTTCTCTCACAAAAACTAATGCAGTTTGATGCAACCTTCTTGTACTTTAGCTTAAATCCCAAGTAAACACTACAAGATAACCCCACTACTCACCTCATTCCCTACATAGCTGGAATGAAACACATGCCTGGTAATGTCAACAACTACAAGAAGCACATTTATTAGACTAAAAAAATGATCTGTATTGGGGAAATGTATTTACTGTATTTAATGAGTAAATTGAGGCCTTCCCCTTTGGAGAATTAAAAGACTGGAATGTAACTGATGTGTTTACTTGTGATGCAAGTTAAGGTATAAGAAGGGTACATCAATGTGCTCATGTTTTGTGTAAAGAAGGAGGTTGATTTTCTGCCTGAATTTCCTTATATATCAGGCTAAAGCTTCAAACATACCTTTGTGCTTTAAACCAAAGTTTTGTTTTTCCTCTTTGAGGAATATTTTAAATAAATGACATTTGGAAGAGGTATACATAGCACTGCAGGTATAAAACTTACCTCAACCTCCTCCCCTGTTGTATACATGAGCTCTGTTACCAAGTTAATAGCAGCACCTTCACCACAAACATGAATTTCTTTTGCACAGAGACCTAAATTTGCACAAAACAAAAAAGGCTTCTAAATCAACTTAAATGGGTGGAACATATTAAAGAAAGATATAACTGATGAAATCCAGTACTGTAAAGTTATGGCACATAAGTCTGAAGACATCGTTGGTCACAGTCATATTTTGGTGATTAAAAAGTTTCCTCTTACACCTCTCAGAAAGTTTCGAGGCCCCTCAGGATTCCTTTGATCTTGGGGAAGCCTTTAGAGACAGCACAATGAGAGCAAGAGGTCTTAAATGTCTGATAATTGCTGGTGGTGGTCCCAGTGGCCACGACAGGACCTGCAATGGTATTTTAAGTTATTTAAGAAACCATTCTGCTATCTTTAAAGGCTTCCCAAGGATAACTTTGAAATGGACAGCATATCTGAAAACAGTTGACACTGTATGAGAGCCTGCTAATGAAAACAAAACAAAAGATTAAAGGAAACTCCACTGGGCAATATCAGGCCTGTTAGTATGGCACTTATGGTTTTCGGGATCTCTTCCAATAGTCTCCTACCACACAGATAGCTACAATAACAAACATTTCACAACAACCATGTTGCACATTCAGCGGAAAGGACTGTCTTCCTTTTGTTCTAGGGGCCAGGAAAAGGTACAAAGAGGAATTCAAGTCTGTCATCACTGAGCCAAAAAAGACTGAAACTATGTGGTTGTTACACCAATAGTGCTGATGTGGTGCTATGCAACACTGCCGCATAACACAGAAATCGGCTTTGACTTTAGTTTACATAGGATCTTCCCTTATTATCAATACATTTTCTCTCATTTAACCTCACAGATTATTTTAATTATGTATGTATGCATGTATGTATTATTTCAATGAAACCATGGGGCTTTGTTGATTTAGTGGGAAGCATGACTGACTTGACCAAGATTAGGACCGCTCCTCAACTGACATAACTACTTTTTATAACAATTAGAAGCACAGCAAAATGAAGTGGCACACCTCTTGCCAAACAAGGTCTGTGAACCACACAAACCTACTTGACAGGCACTGCTAGTACAGTGGTGCTCCGCATGACGACAATAATCCATCCCATTGAAATCTCTGTTTAGCGAAATCGTTGTCATGCAAAATCCGTTGCCCCATTGGAATGCATTAAAACCCGGTTTAATGCGTTCCAATGGGGAAAATACCTCATCGTCCAGTGAAGATCGCCCACAGGGAAGCCATTTTGTGAGCGCCGATCAGCTGTAAAAATGACTGTCCTGCGAAGCATGGGTCCGGAAAACACAGGACAGCCATTCTGCGAAGCCAACGATCAGCTGTAAAAATTGTCATCTTGCGAACAAGCGGTTCGCGAAGCACGGACCTAATCAATGTCCAGCAAAAATGACCCATTGGAATGACTGTTTTGTGAATCGCTATAGCGATCGCAAAAAGTCATCTTTATGCGGATTTGTCATTTAGCGGGGTCGTCGTCTTGTGAGGTACCAGTGTACTCTAGAACATGGTGCTGCGTGAGACACATGAAAAGGGCTGCAGTAAAGAATTATGTTAACAGTAAACTCACATACCCAAGAGTGCTCGAGTCCAGGCCCAGCCTCGAGTAGAATCTTTAATCATCTGAATTTCATCAATCACAGCCACTTCATCTTAAAAGTAAAAAAAAATTAAACAATAAAAACTGGCACATGGTAAAATGCAATTGCAAAACAAAACTTTGCAAAGGTAAACCCCCAGGATAAGCTCTTTAAACTAGGTATCTACTCAGGTTAAAACTACTTTTACAGTCTCATTTGTACAGCCCATTAATACATCACAATGCATAACAGATTCCTAAGACAAAATGTATCTGAATGTTGTACAGCCAATTAAAAAAACCATGATCATGCTCCAAGATCCTGGAAGAACACTGAAAGGACAGACATATACATACAGGGTGTTGTAACACTGCACATCTCAATGGTGCAAGCAGCATGGGCAGCTGGTTTGCCTTCTGGATCAACACAGATGCGCTCCTCCCCAGTTAGTAAGTCACAGGGCACATTCTACAAAGTTGAAAAAAAGGAAAAGGCAATTAATGAAAGGATTGCCTAAGAAGAAGACAAAAACCCATCAAACTTCCCAAAGAAAACTACAAGAATCAGCATCATTATCATAAACTTAAAACTGTAGAGCTGGATAAATGGGACCCAATGGATCACCAATAAAACATGCACAATAGGCAATATGAAATCCAAGACAGCATTTTGTGCTGGAAACCGGATGTTTTAAAAATGACCCTGGGCGCACCAATCTCCATTTTAAATTGAGTCTGGGAGGGTTGGGGAAGGTGAACACAAACTCCAAAGGTAGATTGGGAAAGGATCCCTCTGGAACTATTAACAAGGAATCTTTTGAACATTTCATCAATCATCAAAGTCCCAAGCTTTCTTCAGTTAACAGCTTCCAGAGGCGTTGCCTGAACGCTGGCACAGATACACTACAGGTGGAATTCTGCTATATCTATCCATCCAAAGAAAGCTTCTGTCAATGGAGTGGAATTTTCAGCAATTCTCCCTCTTTCCTGCAGTGGCCCCATCCCGTCTTGCTCCAGAAGACTGGGGAACCCTTGGGAGACTATTCTGTCAAGAGACTGGGGGAGCTATGAGGAAAGGAAGAATTGCTCAAAACAGCATCTCACCAATAGAAGCCTTCCATAGGTAAAGTGAAGTTAGCCAGATTCCATCCTATCTTTCTATAGTTGCACCAAAGCTATAACATTTCTCACTGAGCCCTCCTTGAAGCGCTTCCATCGGCTCAGGTTCAGCTCTGCTTGTCACTCTCCTAGTCAGCATCCCACCACCTGAGGATTCCCAAATTTGCTTCAGAGAAAGGCAACTTCTACTTGTGACTTGGAACACCCAGGGTTCTTAAAAGTTTATGTCTGGAGGCACAGTTCCTATGGATTCAATAGCCATTTCCAGTTTGTTTTCCATCTATGTCTCATGGGAAGTTTATACTGAGTCAGATAATTGGCCTATCTATCAGTGTTTCCCACACTGACTCCAGGGTTTATGTATAGCTTTCCGAACCCTAACAAGAAATGGCAGGAACTAATTGAGGCCTTTTGCTTTACTACTGAGCAGTGGCCTTTTTATGTCAGAAACAGTTACAATACAAAACAAAAGGGATTGGAGCTATCACGTTTTTCAAGATGTGATGGCAAAAAAACGTTCACAGGTCTAAAAGGTTACACTGTTCCTGTATTTGCAAAGGAATGCAAAGTAAAAGTGTCTTTCCCTTCCATCTCTCCTTGCCATCTGTTCTGCCCGTCACAAGACAGATAATATACTTTGTAGCTATGAAGAACATTGTATATATTGCGAGCACTGTATCATTAATGATCTCCAAAATATTTTATATAATGGCATGGACTGTAATATGATCATAGAAGCATGAAAATTCATTGACATACTAACAGCAGCATTACTCTTTTCGAAGATTTCATGTGCCAGAAGCTTTAGTGGCCCACAGTATATTCCTGATTCTGCCGTCAAGTATCTCTGGATTGCATGATAAGTTTTCCCACTATTAGTAGGGCCAGCGTGAAACACAATCTTTCTGTGGATCGCCCTGGCTTCTGGATACCTAGAATATACAAGCAAAACAACATATGGATAGGACAATCTGAACCAGGCAGTCTAGATTCATCACCACCTCATTCTGTAGCACGAGTCATCTGAGCTTTTAAAAAATAATTATCCTAATTAATCTTAAGGTATTACTCTGAGAAAGATGAGGGAAAACTCCCAGGGGTGCAGAGCCAAGTGTTGTTGTTGTTGTTGTTGTCGTCGTTGTCGTTTTTACTTATATGCTGCATTTCTCCGAACAAGGGATCCAAAACAGCTCATAACATTAACATTCACACAATTTAAAAACACAGTAAGTTAAATATTAAAAGATAAATTAAACAATATATGATTTAAAATTAAATTAAGATATTGTGATTTGTACTGAAGTCTCCACGCATGCATCTTTCAAGCAGAAAATTATCTTCTTGGATAATGCCAAGAAACTGTCAAACACACATCCTTCTTCTTACACTATTATAAACTGTGGTCTTCCCAAGTTTTCTTTTACAGATAAATATTTTTTTCCTTTATTTTATTTTAAAGTTAATTTTTACAATTTTCAGAAAATTGTACATTGTGCTGAATGCCTGGTAGGCAGAAGAAGCAATCTGTAAATCTGATGCATATATTATGCATATATGCTAAATGTAACTTCTTTGATATGCAAGACTGATATGAAAAAGCAGTTTTTGTTCATGTCTGGGTATTTACCTCCAATTGTTTTCCAAGGTCAATAGTACCTCATCATTCAGAATATGGCTGACCAAGATTAACTAAGTATCCCTGCCAGTATCTGATTTTTAGAATATTATTTTGCTTTTATCTTCTAAATACAGATGCATAGTAAATGGAGTTACATTATAAGCCTAGAACAGCCTCCAAAAAAGGCCACCAAAGAAAACTGAAGGTAAGATGGACAAAATAAGATTAACAGAAATAGCCACTTTATGTCTAGGTTTTTAAAGCTTATTCATAAAGAGCCTCGTGGCGCAGTGGTTGAATAGTAAATGGAGTTACATTATGAGCCTAGAACAGTCTCCAAAAAAGGCCACCAAAGATAACTGAAGGTAAAATGGACAAAATAAGATTAACGGAAATATTAAGCATACTCATAAAACCAATCATCGTATTAGTGTGCTTCATGAGAAGCATGTCAAAAGAAGTTTCCTAATGCTTGAAAATCTAAAACAATCTACCACAATACAAAGGTTAAGTCAAAATACTGTAAAAGGAGATGTTCAAAAGCTAGCTAATCTTCTTAACATAGAAATTTAATAGCTATTTAAGTTTCATTACACACTGCAAAATACACACACACACACACACACACGCCATTATTACTAGCCTGTAGAGCAATGCTTTCCAACCTCAGGTCTCCATGTGTTCTTGGACTCCAACTTCCAGAAATCCCATCGTATTAGTGTGTTTCATGAGAAGCATGTCAAAAGAAGTTTTCTAATGCTTGAAAATCTAAAACAATCTACCACAATACAAAGGTTAAGTTAAAATACTATAAAAGGAGATGTTCAAAAGCCAGCTAATGTTCTTAACATAGAAATTTAATAGCTATTTAAGTTTCATTACACACTGCAAAATACACACACACACACACACACACGCCATTATTACTAGCCTGTAGAGCAATGCTTTCCAACCTCAGGTCTCCATGTGTTCTTGGACTCCAACTTCCAGAAATCCCGGCCAGCACAGCTAGTGGTGAAGGCTTCTCTGAGTTTTAAGCCAAGAACATCTGGGGACCCAAGGCTGGGAACCACTGCTGTAGAGGGTACAGCTCAGATATAGGCTGAAATTCTATGCAGATTTATTTAGGAGTACAGCTCACTGAACCTGATGGAACTTACGTTTTACGCACATATAGACTGTATCAGTCTTAAGAGTGCAATCCAAAGCCAACAGAATTGCCACTGAAATCTATTCACCTTTAGATATTTTGATTTTAGAACATTTGACCTGATGCCTCAGTGTCCAATGTCCATAAAACATTTTCTTCAAATAAAGAAATAAATACAAATCCTTAATTCATAAGACAGCTAATCTTATGAATTGACCCTTTGGTCAGCATAGGCCAGGGGTTCCCAAACTGCATACCACTGCACTAGGGGTGCCGTGAAACCTAGCTGGGGCTGCCACGGGAAAAGAAACAGAAAACACACACACCCCAGCAATGCTCTCTCTTCTCCCACCCCACCCCACCCAAATTCCCCCAAGGGCCTACAGGTCCTAACAGGGAACCAGGTCACCAGACTCCACTGGGAACCATAGAGATGAAGAAAGGAGAAACAGGCACACGGCCTCCACTTCTGGTTCCTGTTTGACACAGAGTAATGAAAAGCTCCTCTAATTGTTTGTAGCTCTGTGTCAAACAGAAAGAGGCTGTTAGCCTGCTTCTCCTTTCCCTATCTGTATGATCTCCTTGCCAGATGGCCTTGGGAGTTTCCTGTTTTAGGATCTAGAAGTATGACCTTGTGGATATTGGGGGGGGGAGGATATGGCAGGGGGGATGTCAAGATCCTGGGGGAGGGGGGAGAGAGGAGAGGATATGGCAGGGGGGATGTCAAGATCCTGCCCCTGGTGGCAGTAAGATGATGGCCCCTCTGAGCATGGGGTACCACAGGCATTAGTCTTTTAATAAAAGGAGGAGTGACTCAACAATGTTTGGAAACCACTGGCATAGTCAATGACACTGAAGTAGCCTAACTGAATCAATAACAATTTTCTGAGTCAACTCCTCCATACATTTCAGTGATTCAAATGGGCCTACTCTGCAACTTACTTTAGCATAGTACTCAGGCGTTGACTCACAAAATCCCCACTGATTCAATGGGCCTATAGTGCAATTTACCACACTAAGCAACACGATTTTGGTAGCCATAGTATGACAGAGCAACGTTACCCATAATGAAAATAAAACACTTTATAGGAATATGACATGAACATTGTAACAGTATTGGTACTAAAGAATATGTATGTATGATTTTAAAAATCTAACCAGTTGGGTGGTAATCTTAAATCACTGATTTTACGCAAGTCATCCATGCACTCCAACATAGGGAATATCTGTTTAGCATGTTTCATGAAGAATGGAAATAGATTGCTAACATGCCCTGCAGGAAGGAAAGAAAGAAAGAAACACATATTTTAAAACCCAGCAGTATAATTCAGAACAACTTACAATTTTATAAAATTTGGTTACATGGATTTTGCCAGTAGGTTTTTTTCAGAATCTTGAAAAATGATTTGGAAATGCTTCTAAATTACTGTCATACTACAAATAACCTAGTATTCTTAATTAAACTTAAAATATTTAGATTTATATCATAAAATAATGTGACAGTCTATATCCTTACCTGCACCACAGCATATATCGTTTAGAATAATATGTATGTCAGCACTCAAAGACTTCGAATTCATAATGTATCTCCTAAAACTTATAAATGCTTGATGAAAAAGACGAGCTGTAAAGGGGAAAAACAAAGAAGAGATTGGTGCTGCACATAAGGTTTTATTTTCTATAGCTTCACTGCTTGAAATCTGGACCAAAAGCAAACTTAAAAGCATATTTAGGAACGGAATCTTGATGTTCATGTTGATGAAAGGGGTTGGAAACACATTTGGAAATCCATACTACTTACCCTACTATCAGATACAGTTGTGTTCAAAATTATTCAACCCCCATATGTGGAATTCAATCCTTATGGAGTTACATTAACAATGAATCCTCAAGGTTGTGCTGGAGAAATGTTGGGCCAATTTGGCTCATATGTGCATCTTTAGCAGTTTTGTCCAAAAGTTCAATTGCCTGGAGAATTAATTTTTATGGCGCTTGAGTGGATCACCTATCCATCTATATATGCATCACCATCTTTGCACACCCTTTTTTATTTTTAGGGGGAATTCTAAACTGAACCATGAAAAGTTAATTTCCTTACTTTGTTTAGTGGCTAGACAACCGACTGCATCCAGCTGGAAAACTGGTCACCATCTCTCACTCTCTCAATGGTTGTTAAAAGTTCGGCATATGGCTATCACTGAACACTTCAGGTTCGTTCATTGCGAGCTATTAGTGTTTAAATATATTTTTGGAAGTGTGTTTCCTGTTACCTTCTGTATATTATAAATATTTAAATTTTCACACCAATGTCCCATGTAAATTTTGGTACTGATTTAGCATAATACAAATCTTAATTTGTTTTTAAATGGTTATTATTTATAATTGGTAATAAATATTTTTAAAAGTGGCCAGAAAAATCTGGAGCAAAATCTAATGTTTTAGATTACACACAAGATTGTTTTGTAGAATACAATAATTATGTAAGGCTTTAATTTCAGTGGGATTTTAGCAAGGCATGGGAACAATGAAACATTAAAGGCTCCTCAAATAAAATCAGAGAAGTTAACAATCACAATATTATTTTATTAGGGATTAACATTCCAAATAAAATTGGTCTTAAAGAGCTAACATTTTGTTAAGGATAATTTACACATCAAATACAGATAAACATAGCCCAAACCTCAAGTATTTCATACCATCTAGTCCATTTTCTGTCCCCAGTCTTTGTATTTCTTTTGTCTTGTAAAAAGTATTTAATATCTTCAGAACTTCATCTAAAATAACAAAATATAAATGGTATCATGTTAATTAATACTATAAATGAATCATACAAACAAAATGAACGCTACTTGGCAAGGGAACCCAAAGTACACTCCACAACATCATTTTCTGAAACCCTGCTCGGGATGTAAGCAATAGCAAAGAAGGGACAGAATCTACTCAGTGCCAGGGCTATGGCAGCCTCTGTTAGTGCCACTTATACAGCATCAACTTTATCTGGTTTGGGTAGCCTTATTTCCCAAATCATTTTGAATCTATTTTATTTAACAGGCTTTCACAATACTGCTACGCATAATCTGATTTTGAGTTTTATTGTCAAAACTCCTGTGAGCCATCCCAAAAACTTATTATTCATAAAGGAGGATATAAAGGTTGCAAATAAAACCAAATACTTCTGCAAAAGTGAATGCTAGGCTATCATTTCCCTCCAACGTGTTCTCCAAAACATCATATTCTAAAAGAATGTGTCCTCTTAATAGAAAGAGGAAAAAAACCCATGTACTCGCAAATTCTGTTATTATCCCTAGTTAAAATTTCCAGTCAAGGTACAGTTCACATACTGAATAGGTCTTGGTCTTAAATATGTGTACGTTTCCATATGATAAGTTGAAAAAATTATCTATACTTTAATGCAAAGACAAGGAATGAAAGAAGCGATCCTCACAATAAGCTATTAATCATTCGCCACAGAGATGGGGAAAGAAGCTACCAGGACTTGCATCCCAGCACATGAAGCACACGTGGGCCTTGTGGGTACAGTACTCTTAATATCCTCATCACTCCTAAAGAGCAGCTAGACTGGCGAAAGCCATCAGGGGCTGCAGTTCAAACACCCGAAGGGCCACAAGTTGCTCATCCTGATTCAACATCTGTCCCCAACGTCCTCTGACCACCCAAAATTACATGGAATCACTAATATTCTCTTTTCCGTTCCATAACCAATTATGCCCCACTCCCAGTTCCTTAAGCTCCATACAGCCCCTGAGACTCGAAAGCCTCTGCCACAATCACAATGGGAACGAAGCCAATCGGAGGACAGGGAGGGCCTCCGTCCCTTCTAATCCCCCCCCCCCAGATTGGCCACGGCTTACTCTTATCGAGTGGGCGCGTGAGCTCGGCTCCGATATCCCCTTCGTGGCTCGACAACGACGGGGTCACCGGCAGCGGCACGAACAAGGAAGTGTCCGGAGCGCGGAGGCCCTCGTTCTCGCCCGAAGAAGCAAAGAAGGCGGCCCTCGCTGCGCCGAGACGAGCGGCTGCTCGGCTCCCGCCTCCGCGCCAGCTCCCAAGAAGGACGGGGCCGCCATAGCGCAGCGAACCCGGCGGGAACCACGACAACACTCGCGCGTAGCACAGCGCCGACATGGAAACGACTCGCCAGAGCGCCTGAATCTCGGAGGCGCTCCGCGGTGACGTCACCGCTAGGCGACCGAGGACCCCCCCCTCCCGTAAGGTGTGTCGAGGAGGAAGCCTGAAGGACGGCGTTGGACCTGACGCTGGGCGCTCAAGGGAGCGAGGCCGGTAGGGCCGCAGGGGGCAAAGAGGCGAGGCTGAGAGCTGGGGCGAGGCCTTCTCCCTTTTCCGAGGGCGGCGTCGTGGCGTCTCTCCAGGGGCCCGCGAGCCCTAGTAAGAAAAGCCCCCGGAGGCAGCTCGAAGGACAGCCAGCAGACGTCTCCAGTCCCCACGTGCGTTGAGAGCACGTGCAGAGGACGCCCGTTAGCTCCCGGAGGGAGGCGGCGGTCGGAGCGGTTCTCTGCGTTTGGTAATAACGTGGGGCGGGCCTGTCCTCCGGGAGACAGCCTCCCCTTGCTTTGCCCCTTGGACTTTTCTGCCCTCTCTGCTTCTCCCGGATTATGATGATGCTCGGTCTGGTCTGTCTTCTCCATCGTATACGCCTTTGTAAGTGGGTTGTGTTCCGCACACCCGCAAACTCTTAAGTGCTCTTTTCCCCAGTTCAGCACGTAATGGACTCCCATCGAAGTCGCGAATCAGAGGTCACTTGCAGTTTAAAAAATAAAGACGTAACGATGCGCTCTTCTTTTGTGCTTGCGCGGAGCCAGAGCAGCTGTAAAACCTCCCGGATAATTAGCGTACGCGTGGAACCAGCAGCATCATTTATTTATATTTTTATTTTATTTATTTAATTTATACCCCGCCTATCTGGTCGGTGAAGACCACTCATGGCACCTTAAAACTCGTATGAGGGAGTCTAGAAAGCAAATCTGGGCGAGCAAGGGAAGGAGTCTTAAGTTTGTACACTTTAGACATTTCTCACGCACATTACTTGCCTAGATTGGACTTCGTTAAGTGTTCGGCTTCTGCTACCTATTAAACAAAAGTCATACCCAGACATAATGACTACAACGCTATGGGACTCATTAAAAACTGCAGTAGGGGGAGAATGACTCAAAGATACTTGCATTTAAAAAATCTTGTCAAGCAGTAAAGCATCAACTTCTTCCTTAATAACTGGTGGACAGAAATAAATACATTCTCTCAAAAGTTTTAAAATTTAAAATTGAACACAAAGTACAAAACAAAGCAGATATTTGCCAGAAATTTAATTGAAAAGGAGAACCTCAAATATTTGACATGAATAAAATTGTGACATGCAATATGCTAATCAGAAATATTTTGACTATGGCAAATGACTTAAGAAAAAAAGACAAGAATAATCTAAGATGGAAAAGGAGAAAGCATTAAAATTGTTTTTTTATAATTTTTCAAAATATTCCTCTTCAAACCATTCTTTGAAATCAAAATCAACCAACTTCTTGGAGCAATTAATTTTAAAAAATTAACCTCAGACCAAATTGTTAAAAAATCATTTCCTCAGAATTTAATTAGATATTAATAACCTGAAAGCAAATGAAGCCCAGGGTTTGGATTACTTAAGTGGTTAATTTTATATGACCTTTAAAGATGAACTAGTTCCAATATTACTCCCACTGAACTCAGTTTTTGATGGGAAATCAATGATGTTTTGAAACAAACTGAAAATGTTATATACAAACAAGGGAAAATCCAGAGATTTATTCATACCTTCCTATTTTTCTAATTAATCAGGTTGCCATAAATGTACAATTATTCTGGCAAGTAGACTAAGAGATATCTTGAGTTCATATGTTGCAGAGTCAATTTGAATTCTCCAGAAAATTACATATATCTGCCCCCAAATTTTGTTTCCTTGATGTTATTAATATGGCTACTACAGTAATTGTAGACCAGATTAATAACATTAATCTGAGCAGCCTGGATTCCCTTAGCCTGCCTTAATGAAGACCAGGTTACCCTTTGCAAAGATGGCAGTTGCAGCTTCCCTACCCTAAATGAAGCTGCAGCCGCCATCTTTGCAAAGGGCAACCAGTGTCACTTTCTATGGGCCATGGCTGTGAAGGCCAGCTGGAGATGGGGGCAGTGGTGATTGCGGTTGGGGGCGGTGGGGAGGGGTCAGGTTTTTTTTGTCTTGTAAAGAATTTAAAAAATCAACAAATTTGTGCTTCGTTGGTTCATGCGGGCAGCTTTGTGAGTCATCAACAAGTGTCTCTTCAAAATAGGAGAGGCCACGATGCACTGCCTGTCTCCAGGCTGAACATTCAGATGTCAAGGTTTCCCATCTGTTGAGGTCCATTCCTAAGGCCTTCAGATCCCGCTTGCAGATGTCCTTATATCGTAGCTGGTCTCCCTCTGGGGCATTTTCCCTGCACTAATTCTCCATACAGGAGATCTTTTGGAATCCAACCACGGAAATATTTGCGATGATGGTGGTGAATGGAAATATGAAAATAAACATCCTGAAGCCACGAACTAATTGCCCGGAGAGAGAAGTGGAATGACAGATTCTAGGGTGACCATATGGAAACGTTTTGGATGAAGGTGAGTATTGAGTAGTCTGAGATCTAGGATCAGTCGGAGACAACCGTCCATAGGAGAGGCCACGATGCACTGCCTGTCTCCAGGCTGAACATTCAGATGTCAAGGTTTCCCATCTGTTGAGGTCCATTCCTAAGGCCTTCAGATCCCGCTTGCAGATGTCCTTATATCGTAGCTGGTCTCCCTCTGGGGCATTTTCCCTGCACTAATTCTCCATACAGGAGATCTTTTGGAATCCAACCATCAGCCATTCTCATGACATGCCCAAGACAATGTAGATGTTGCTGTTTCAGTAATGTATACATGCTAAAAATTCCAGCTCATTCCAGGACTACACTATTTGGAATGTTGTCCTGCCAGGTGATGCCAAAAATGCGTCGGAGACAACGCATATGGAACGTGTTCAACTTCCTCTCCTGCCTAGACAAAGGGCCCAGGATTCACTGCAGTACAGGAGTATGCTCAGGACACAGGCTCTATAGACCTGGATGTTGGTATATGCCATCAGCTTTTTGTTAAGCCATACTCTCTTTGTGAGTCTAGAGAGCATGGTAGCTGCTTTGCCAATGCGTTTATCGAGCTCAACATCTAGAGAGTTGGAGATCATTGAGCCAAGGTACACAAAATCAAGAACAACCTCCAATTCTTGTGTGGAGATGGTAATAGAGGGAGGTGAGTCCACACCCTGGCCCATGACTTGTGAGTTCTTCAGGCTGATTGTTAATCCAAAATCTTGGCAGGCCTTGCTAAAACGATTCATAAGTTGTTGGAGGTCTTCGGCAACGGAGGATTAAACAATGGAGAAAGCTGAAATTCACCTAGCATGGAAGAATAGCTGTGATTAGAATATTAGTATTACTGTAATTGTGTTGTTTCAAATTGTTATGAAATACCAGACTCCTTTTTAAAGTTGTGGCAGAAACTGTTACTGTAATTTATCCATAATGGTAAAAGGGCTGGCATTTTAAACTCCGCATCTTACAATACAACAAATTATGATGGCAAAGGAGTTCCTCTCCTCGTCCCCACAACTTCTACTGCAACTTTTTGGGTTTTCAAATTAGGGAATTAAGCGTTGTGGAGCTCACAGAGTCTAATTCTTGGTTTTTGTTGGAGGTAGAGAGAGAGGAAAGACCTTGAGAGAATAAGGGAGGTTACTTACCTGTAAACATGTTTCTTCGAGTGGTCCTCTGTAAATCCACACAAATGGGTTTAAATTGCGCCTACGCAGGACTCCTCGGAATATTCTAAAGCTTAAAAACATGTGATTAGTAGGACATTTCCCCATGGTATGCGTGCTCCACCTGCCCATAATACCTCAGTTCTGAAATGCCTGCCGCTGTCAAGGCTCTAATTGTAACCAAGCTCAAGAACCAAAGTGATGGACAGTGAAGAGGATGGGTGGGATGTGTGGATTCACAGAGGACCACTCGAAGAACCATGGTTACAGGTAAATAACCTCCCTTTCTTTTTCATGGCCTCTGTGAACGCACACAAATGGGTGACTAGCAAGCTCACTTACTGGAAGGAGGGCCATCACGCCAACAATGACATCAGCACAGCCCTTCCAAAATTTGCTTCCTTCTTGGCCCTGAGGTTCAGACGGTAATGTGTCACAAAGGTCAATGGCTGCTCAACAAATGTCAGAAACATCAACGCCATGCAATAGGGCAGTCAAAGTAGCCATAGCTCTTGTAGAATTTGCCTTTAATGCATCTGATGCAGCTTTGCCAGGCAGTTCATAGGCTGAGGTGATAGTAGACATAATGCACCTAGAACAGACCTCTAGAGGCAGTGAATTTAGAAAAAACGTTCCATTTGTAAGAATACAACATGGGTTGGCAATAGGTTCGATGCAGACGTGGAGGAGTTGAAGGTGATGTTGAGGATCCAGAAGGAGAGGCATATACATCACACACTCTCTTGGGCCTGATGTAATCGCTGGTGTCACAGAAAGTTTCAAGGTCATCCTCGCAGTACTGACCGTGACCACCACGTCGATCAAGCTCTACATAAATCGGCTCCTCATAATCTGAGTATGCATGACGGCAAGATGGGCGTGGAAGAAGTATAACCTCTCAATGCCGAGTTTGCTCTTGGGTTGGAGAAACATGTCAACATTTCACCAGTCATTTCCACGGAGGGGATTGTTGCGGGGACACCTCCAAACCAAATAATTGTATCACTGTCGCCTGGCCAATTGACATAGGGCTAGAATGGGCCAAGGCCGGGCTGGAGATGACATCAGCCTCAGAACGGCCATGACTAGGAGACAGGCTTGGTATTGATACCAAAGCCTTAGCCTGTGGTGGTGGTGCCGAGTCGACCCCTTCAGAAAGGGAGTCTAGATCTGGCAACTCCTGAGATCACTCCTCAAGTATGGGAGGTGGAAGGGAGACTTGTATTGGAGGAAGTTCTTAAAGTTGAGCAGATTTTGAAAATTGTTTAGCCTTCTTCTGTTTACCAACAGCTTTCTTTTTCTAAGGCTCTTCCACGGATTGCGATTTCGACATTGAGGCCAACGTCAAGGCCGAAGACTTCTTCAGTTTAGATGCCTTTGAAGAAGACCTCGGAGACGGGGTGGCA